CTGCTGTTTTCGAGGACTGCCTGAATTCATAGTGGTGGTTGTTTCTTCCTCACTGAAAAAAACGAGATATTTTGAAAAAACCCGAGTTTTCTATTAGACCAGAAACCGACTGGTATTAAATTACTTCGCATATCGGATTATATAATATTGTAGCAATCAGGCATTCTGCGCTGAGGCGTTATACGTTCGAGCAACTAACCCAAGGGACGTGATTTTTTACGAGAACTTAGTCATAACCAGGATAGATTATCTTTAGTTTGTCCAAATAAATCGGCAGAAAGTTCCTCCGGCGTAATACGGACGATCATTACACAGATGGAATTGGAGGAACTAAACGGGAGCAGTCAATCATAGATCCAACCCATTCCTCCGACCAGAAAGCCATCCACGAAGTTTGATCATTGTTTCAATCCAGTAGTAAAAAATAGTCAGTCCAAAACAGCCTAAATGTCGATCAGAGGTAAGGTCTACCAACTGGGCCAACCAGGTAAACGCGGCAAGACATCTTCTGGATACGCAAATTTCCCATGTTCAATGCATTATCTAAAGAAATACAGCTTTATAATATAATTTTAATCATTGGTTTATTTTTTTCTACGCTTTGAAAACGAGCATTTGCAATTTGACGCCCATGTGATGGGATATTTTCTTCCCCGGTTTCTTTAAAGTAATACTTTAAAATTTGTTTTCCTTTGGTTTCGCAATTAAGTTGTAAAGAGGGGTCGAATCTAGGCGAAGGGGATCTACTCATCAGATGAATATAAAAACTGGTGCAGCCATCGAGGTATTCCCAGTGACAGCCGACAGAAAGAAGCTAAACATCAGCTTGCTATGTGGACCAGGGCTCGAAAAAATATATCACGTAGAATATGCGGTAGGCAGAGACAATACACCGTCTGGGTTGCACGCTAAAGCATTTTAAACTGACTGTCGTGGTTAGATAGTGATGTCGATATCTCGAGTGGCTTTGTCAGTGCATTCGACACGGATGTTATTGCGTGTGGTACGTGAAATATGAGGTAGGGTAGGCAGGAGCTAGTTAGGAAATATAAGCTGGGTCGAAAGAGCCCACTAGCAACGATGAAACCAAAATCAACTTCTAGAATTTCAGCGCGCACTTCAGAGATTTTCCATGCATTCGGAGTCAGAAAATCAGGCATTCTGCGCCGATTTCGTTATACTTTCGAGCAACTTACCCAAGGGACGTGATTTTTTACGAGAACTTAGTCATAACCAGGATAGATTATCTTTAGTTTGTCCAAATAAATCGGCAGAAAGTTCCGCCGGCAAAATCCGGACGATCATTTTACAAAGATGGAAGTGGAGGCACTAAACGGGAGCAGTCAGTCATAGACCCAATCCATTCCTCCGATCAGAAAGCTATCCACGAAATTTGATCATTGTTTCAATCCAGTAGTGACAAATAGTCAGTCCAAAACAGCCTAAATGTCGCTAAGAGGAAAGGTCTACCAACTGGGCCAGCCAGTTAAACGCGGCAAGACATTTTCTGGATATGCAAATTTCCCATGCTCCATGCATTATTTGAATAAATACAAGTCTATGATATAATTCCAAAATTTGGTTAATTTTCTCTCTGCTTTGACTGCGGGTATTTGTAAGTTGGCGCCCATCTGATGGGATATTTACTTCTCCGTTTTTTTTAAATTAATACTTTAACTCTTGCTTTCTTTGGTTTCAAAACCAAGTGGTAAATAGAGGTCGAAACTAGGAGAAGGGGATCTACTCATTCGGCGATTACAACTACTGGTCCAGCCATCGAGGTGTTCCCAGTGACAGACGACAAAAAGAAGCCGAGCGTCAACTTGCTATGTGAACCAGGGCTCGAAAAAATATATCGTGTAGAATATTACGGTATGGCAGAGAATATACTCCGTGGTAAAGTAGTGATATCGATATCTCGAGTGGCTTTGTCGGTGCATTCGACACTGATGGTATTGCGTTTGTCACGTGAAATATGAAGTAGGGTAGGTAGGAGCCAGTTAGACACCGGGTAAGTGCTGACATTTTGATGGCACATAGTGGATGCGCCATCTCGAAAGATGCTTAACAAAATTCCCAAATGTGTCTTCTACTAAAGAAGATTGCTCAAGTAAAGTCGTGAGATTAATTGCCGCGCAACATTATTACAAGATATTTCAGTCAGTTCAGGATTCTGACCATTAAACAAACTACACTTCGTACGGCCTGGCTGCCTAAGTAGTATGATTTACTCCTATTGATATTTCATGAATGCAGGCTGCGGGATAGATGCTGCTCCAGGAAGCCTGTCGTTGAACCAATCTTCTCCTAGCTGGGTATTGCAACGACTGAAATCCAGAAAAACCATTATCTTGGATTGTGGTTGATGTACATTTTTTGAGCATTCGGATGTTAATTTCTGCGTCCTGGAGGAGACAAGCACGCCAGGAGTGTCAAAACACTAGGGAGTTCCAATCAGACATGCGTAGCAGTTGACTGAGGAATTGGAAAACTTGCTGATGACATCAATTCCTGCTTCTTTATCCTTGTGTCGATGTTCTCGACAGCTAGACTCAATATGCTCTCTCCTTCCCCCCTCCCCATCACTCCAAAGCATGCTGCGACCTGGTGATTACGTGGATAGGCGAGTCTACTTGGACAGGGAACGATCATTGAGACACACGCTACAAATACGTCCTGCCGACCTCTTTTTAGGATCAACAAATCAATCCACCGACCGGGGAGGACCTCTGCCACTATCGACCGATCTACCAGTGTTAAAATATCATGCAACAGCTGGTTAAGAGGCCCTAATCACACCAACTCCTATTTCTTCATTATTATGGCCTTGTTCACAACCGTTAGCCCTCAGTGTTCTCGCTCCAGTTCAAAGCTGACTGTGCAGTTGCTGGTTTGTAGAATCACGAGGCCACAGTGGACAGGAGACATTAATTATGGCGCTCTCGCGCGCGAGGTTTAAAGTTTTTCCCTGCCGACTTTCGATGCCCAAGTAAATTTCAATATATTTTAGGAAAAAAGCTCCATGAAAATGCTATTTGTGTACTCATTTGACAACAAATCATGTTTCCTTTAATTTTTTTTATTTAATAGATCGCCTTTTGGTTTTAGGAACGTTCTTTGTTTCCCTACTTCCCTGAACTCAAGTTGTTATGCACTTTTATTTTGGGATTTTGGGTATCTAAGCTGTATACTTTCCGTATGAGGAAAAAACACATTGAATGACGCCATTAAGAAAATATTACATGATGCCCATAAAGTGTTGCCGATACGATGTCGTTCGATCGAGCACGGAACGGTTTTAAAAATCTTAGTACCAGAAACATTGTAAAACCAAAAGGCACACTTTCCTCGAGTATATAATTTGAAAATGACGTGATCCGCTATCCGGTCAGCACGAGAAAATTATTTATCGTAGGTGATTTTCTACAAAATGGTTTTTAATTCATATGCATCAAAAATCGATAGAGAAAGTGCATACTTCATACGTAGCCATTTTTGCCGAGTGTAGGTTTCCCAGCTGTCCAAAAGTTGGCATTTATTAATCTACATTCTGGCGTGTCTGGAATATTATGTGGTTGTGCGACACGATAATCACTACAACAATATCATTTAAGCAGTCTTCAAAATCGCAAATGCGCGTAGGGAGGCCTTCAGCTGGCAGTGAAAACGCTCCACCATCCCGTTAGCAGCCGGGTGATAGGCTGTTGTCCGGATGCGGGTACAGCCTAAAAAGGAGAGTAAAGACTGGAAGAGGTTATACTCAAACTGGGTACAACGGTTAGTCGTGATTGTGGAGGGTGCACCAAAGATAGCAACCCAACGACTGAGAAAAGTCTTGACCACCGTTGGAGCAGCAATCTCAGACAGGGGAATTGCTTCAGGCCACCGAGTGAACCGATGATGAGATAGGAAAAACCACTGGACAGACGCAGGGGGCCTACAATGTCCAGGTGAACGTGACTGAACCTTGAACCAGGGCCGGGAAAGGTGCCAATGAAGGCCTTGCTGTGCCACTGGATCTTACTCCGTTGACAGGCGATACAAGCCCGTGTCCATGCTTTGAAGTCTTTGTGCATCCCAGGCCAGACGAAGCGGTCGGAAACCAGCTTGTCGGTCGTTCGACTACCAGGGTGAGAGAGATTGTGCAGGGAGGAGAAAACTTTGCGGCGGAGGAATGGTGGCACAAATGGACGATAGGACGGGGTGGATACGTCGCATAAGACGGTGCCGTTGCCAGTTGTCAGTGGTAGTTCCTGAAGTTGGAGTCCGGAATCATCCTCATCACAGGGTGAACCGACACGGCGTTCTTCAGCGGCCATCTCAGTGAGTTCTATCGCGGGTGAAAGCTGAAGGCGAGCGATAGAGGGCCTGGAGAGTGCGTTAGCCATCTCACTCCGTGACCCGTCAATATGGCGGGTGTCTGAAGTGAACTGCGAAATGTAGTCCAGGTGGCGGGTCTCCCGGGGGCTTAGCTTGTCAGAGTGGGAATGCAGTTCAAATGTGAGTGGCTTATGATCAGTGAAAATTGTGAACTCTCGACCTACGAGTAAATGCCGGAAGTGCCTCCGGCAAGAT